TGTTAGGTCACCGCTTAGTGGCTAGGGATGGGGAAGACGGTGTCCGCTTAGTCGAAGCGTGTGTTTAAGTTTGGAAAAAGAAGGAAAGACAATCGAGGGAAGGTTGTTTATTGCACCTTGAAAAGAGCGCTCCGAGCGCAGAATGAGTCGCAGGTGGCTTATCCTGGCTTCTTCGTCTTCTGCCATTGAAAATCATTTTCTAAGGGAACAAGGTTAAATTTTTTGTTTACATTTGTAAATATGACTTTTAAAGTATGAGTATTCTCTAGCAGTTATGTCCGATGAATAGTAAGTACAGCCTCACACAATATGGTATCGCACAGAGTTTGGAAATTAGCCTGAATGTCTGGCATCATGAAGACTGACGGGCAGTTATGGATTATTTGTTGAAGGTTATTATAATTTTCTTCAGACAGGGCCTCAATATATCGTACTTATTTAGCCTAGAACTCCACGTGTAGATCAAGCTGACCTTGAAATCAAAAAGGTCTGCCTGCTTCTGGGTTTAACGTTTGTGCCATCATGCCCCACAAATGTTGTTTGTTTTAAATCAGCTTTCCTCCACAAGGAAGAAAAAGGTATAGTTAACTGCTAGAATACTTTCAGTTTTTATTGTCCTAACTAAGGTTTTCTCTTAAGAGTGGTCGGGTAGGTAATATGGGCCAAGTGATTCCCTAAGGCAGTCAGTCCGAGGAGTCTTTGCCTTTCTCTTACAGGCTGTTATTGCAAGAAACTAGATCGCAGCACATGTGGGAAAGGCACTCTCTCTGTGCCTGATTATTGACTGTATGCTTTGAGACTCTTCAAAGTAATAATAATAATAAAAAAATCTTCTCCTAAACTGTGTGTATGGTACCTGGCTTTGTTTCCACCATTTAAGTTTCTGGTTTTCATGCTAGTTTTTGTTGTTCTGTATACATATACTCTTTTAATGGTTCCTACTCTGATTATTTAATTTCATTTAGATGTGATGTTTAGATTAGATGACTTTTGTACCCTACAAAAGTTTAATAATATTATAAAGTAGAAATGACCATTTTTCAGTACCAATACAAAAATAAGTGACTGTTTACATATATATATATTTTTTTTTGTGGTACCGAACACTGTATGTGTGTAGGGTCTTACAGATGGATGGTGAGGATGCCCTCTGCCCCTCCCTCTTCTCTTTCAGACAGGAGCTCACTAAATTGCCACACATTCAACAGTTTTCATGTTTTTTGTTACTTGATTTTGAGGCAGGATCTCTGTAGCCCAGGTTGACCTAGGATTTGCTGTGTAGCTGAGGATGACTTTGAATTTATAATCCTCCGGAGATTACAGTCATACCACCAAATCCAGTTTAGGTGGTACTGGGTATCTAACCCCTGTCTCTGCATGCCCAGCAGCGCTCTGCAGACCGACCTACAAACCCCTACCACCAGTTTTCACTTTGGTCAGTTAACTCTTCCTCTTCTAAGTATTTTATGTGTGTGTATGTGCACCGTGTGTGCCTAGTGTCTGCTGAGATCAGAAGAGAAGGTTGGATCCTCTACTGGGGTTACAGACAATTATGGTCTGCCAGTATGAGTGCTGGAATTAGAAGCCATGTCCTCTGAAAGATCATCTAGTGCTCTCAGTTAGGGAGCCATCTCTCTAGCCCTTTGATCAGTCAATCCTTAGAGAGTAACTGGGAAGACATGTCGGACGATGGATGTGTCAGAAGTGCTCTCTGAGCAGGAGGACTGTGCTGCTGAGAAACAATATATACAGTTCACCAAGGGTTTTAGCAGATTGTCTTTATAAAGTTAGTCCAGCCCAAGTTAACACTAGATTGCTTTTGTTTATTTCTGAGACTAGTTCTTGTACAGCCCTGCCAGACCTGTTACTCACCACAGATTGGGCTGGCTGGCCTTGAATTCACAAAGATCCTCCTGCCTCAGCCTCTGTTGGGTTAAAGGTGTATGCCACCATGCCTGGCTTTTGAAATCTTACTATGTATTTGTACCTGTTTTTGGTTTTTTATTGTTGTTTTTCCTAATATACAAGGCAATGCATTTTTGAAGAAAGTCCATTTTTGTTTTGTTTTGTTTTGAGACAGGATCTCTGTGTGCTGAACTCATTATGTAGACTAGGCTGGCCTTGAATTCACAGATACCTGCCTGCCTCTGCCTCCCAAGTGCTGGGATTCAAAGCTTGTGCCACCCACCACGCACCTCAATTTTTTTTTTTCACGGAAGTTTTTTTCTTCAATCTGAAGAACTTTAACTCTTTTCAAGCTTGAGTGTGATCAAGAAAGTTTAAGTCATAGGTGTAATGAAAAGTGCCCTGGACTAGGCTAGAGTGTGTGAAATCTAGTCTAGCATCCAGCTGACTACAAGATAACCTTATTGGGACTGGAGAGATGGCTCAGGGTTAAGAGTATACTGACCACTCTTCCCAAGGTCCCAAGTTCAATCCCCAGCAACCACTTGTTAGCTCATACTCAGATACTCATACCATCTATAATGAAATCTGATGCCCTCTTCTGGTATGCAAGCAAAAATGCTGACAGAACACTGTATACATAATAAATAAATAAATAAATAAATAAACAAACAAATAGGGCTAGAGAGATGGCTCAGTGGTTAAAAGCACTGGCTGTTCTAGGGGACCTAGGTTTAATTCCCAGCACCCACATAGCAGCTCACAACTCTTCTTAACTCCATCTAGTTCCAGAGGATCTGATACCTTCACACCAATGCACATAAAAATAAATTTCAATAAATTTAAAAAAAATTATAAAAGATAATCTTATTCAAGGCACTTTACTTCTAGATCTTTTTCTTTGTCCATTAAACAAAGTCAAGACACCAAATCCTCTGTGAATCTGTGATCTAGGAAAAATAATATAACAAAAACACTCTATTTGGATCATGCAAAATGTCTTTTGCTCAGGGAATAACAAGTTCTGGGAGAATTTTTCTGTTGGGGAGGCATTTGAATGAAGCCTTAAAAATTGAGTATAATTTCTACAAGAAATATGGCAGTTGCTCTACCATTGAGGTATATCCCCAGCCCAGTGTCCTTATTTTAAATATGTTTCAGGGGAGGGGAGGCTGGAGAGATGGCTGAGTGGTTAAGAGCACTGGCTGCTCTTCCAGAGGTCCTGAGTTCAATTCCCAGCAACCACATGGTGGCTCACAACCATCTGTAATGAGATCTGACGCCCTCTGGCGTGCGGGCATACATGGAGGCAGAATGTTGTATACATAATAAATTAATAAGTCTAAAATAAATAAGTAAATATGTTTCTGGAACCTCCCAAAGTAGGGGTCACCCGCTGGGCACCTAGATTTTACCAGTGAATCTCTGGAGGCATTCTCCACATTAGGCCCCAAAGGCTTGTGGTCACTTCAAAATGCTGTCAGTTTTGTTCCCAAGTGTGCCCATAGTGTCGATAATTCCACTCTTGTTCAAAAACCCAAAGTCTCCCTTAAAGCCCAAGGCAAATTCATATTTGTGAGACCCTGGAAAATGAGAAAAGTAAATTATGTATTTCTAATACATAGTGACACAGAGTAAATCTATTTCAAAAGCGGGGAATGAGAGCAAAAGTAAGACCCCAAGCTAAGTCCTGACTAGCATCTGGGTCCATGATAGCATAATGTTGAGTGCCCTTGGGCCCTTTGCTGTTTGACATGGCCTATCTCTTGGGCCAGCTTCATTTATTGACTTTGGCTGTCCTTGACATTTGTTCTATGTGCCTGGCATCTCCAACATCCTGGGATCCCAGTTTGTATTTAGGCTTTTACCTCAACAATATCTTGCACTGTTCTTTCAAAGGCTGCCTGCAAGAACTTTGGCACAGTTACACATGGCCTAATAATATTCAGGCTTTCCTTTTTAAGATCCTGTAACTTGAATTTTGAATGGTGCTTCAAAGGCCTCTACAAACTCAATTCCTGACTGGAGCATCCTGCATATAGGCTTTCTGATTGACTGAAGAGTGATGCTTTTTAACAACTGAGTCATCTTTCCAAAAAGAAAAGTGGTTCCTTTCCTTTTTCTCTTTCTCTCCTTTCTTCTTTTCTTTTTTCTCCTCTTCCTCCTTCCTTCCTTTTTTTTCTTTTTTTTTCGCAAGACCAAGTTTCAAGTTTCTCTGTGTAGCCTTGGCTGTCCTAGAACTTGCCCAATAGACCAGACTGGCCTGGAAGTCAGATCTGCCTGCCTCTGCCTCCTGAGCGTGGGGATTAAAGATGCGTGCCAGCATCACCTGGCTCAGTGGTTTCTTTTTAATTCCAGCTCTCACAACCATACCATCCTTGTCTGAAATTTTGAATATTTACCTTTTCTGGTCAAACTACTCATTTTTTTTCCCAATTTTTCTCTTACTTTTTCCTCCTAGTTTTCACATTAAGTCTGGTTAAGGCAGTCAGCAATAACCAAGCCATAATCTGAGCTCCCATGAAACTTCCTCCTTTAAACTCAGCACCTTTCAATTCTACTTAATGAAAATTCTCAGGACATGTTCTTGGCCAGAGTGCAACACGGTGACATTTAGTTCATTTCTCAGTAGAGTTCCTATTCCAGTCTGAAATCTCACAAGCACAGCCTTTCTTGCTTTTGTTTCTCTTACTGTTCTGGTTTTTGCACACCTTCCAGAATTGCCACTGAGGCTCTGTTCTCGTCATTCTGAAGTCTCTAGCCCACATCCACAAAAGTTTTCTAAATTCTTTCTATAAACCAATTCCAAAGGTTTCTGAACCATTTGGTCAGAGCTATAACTCCCCCTTCTTTGATACTAATTTTCTGCTAGATTAAAAAAAAAACAATTTAAAAATATTTTAAATTTTTATATAAGTAAGATTTTATATGTATGCACTTTACAGTCCAGATGGAAAAACAGCTCATGGACTATTAAAAACACTTGGTTACTTACAAAGCATATATGCTTTTTCAACACAGAAAGTTAAGACTTCAAAAGTGTTAGCTCCAAAGTAAGTCGTCACTGTGTTTAGTACAAGGGTCTTAAAGACCCCTGAAGGGGCAATTGTCTGGAGGTAATGCAATATCAGGTTGGTGTGTGAATGTATACATCAAGTGCCAGTTCCAATCCCAGCTCCAAAAATCTACCATTTTGTTCTCAGAGGAAGAAAAGTCAGATGGTATACTAATAAAAACAGACACTATATTTGATCTTAGCAAAAAGGCCCAGAAGTGAATATAAGTAAACCTAAAAATGTTTTCTTGTTTTTTGGTTTTTTTGTTTTGTTTTGTTTTGTTTTTTCAAGAAAGGGTTTCTCTGTAGCTTTGGAGCTTCACCTGGAACTCACTCTAAGGCCAAGCTGGCCTTGAACTCACAGAGATCTGCCTGCCTCTGCCTCCGCCTCCCAAGTGCTGGAATTAAAGGCTTAACAAACATCTTTACCTGCTGAGACATCTGGCTAGCTTCTCTCTTAGACTTTTGATCACTGTGACAAATTACTTCGGATAAGTTAAAGGAGGAAAAATATATTATGATTAATAGTTTGGGAGGTTGCAGGACTTCTCACATGACAGCCAGTAAGGTCAGAAAGGGACCTCAGACAGTATATAGCTCTCTAAGGATGTACTCCGGTGACCTACTTCCTTTAGTTACGATGCACTTCCTAAAGTCTCTGGGGCATGTCATATTTAAGCTATAATGATACTGCTTTTTAGTAACAAATAAGAGAATATTGATGGTTTAATCCCACAGAGGTTTCTGTGCTGCTCACATGTCCAGAAGTAGTCAGGAGAACTCAGTGCAGTGATTTAGAGAGCCACTTTTCCTCCATGTTATAATCCCATTATTTTGAATGAGCTCTGTTAAAATCCTTGAAGCAAGGAATACATGTGAACCTTAACTGTCATAGCTCAGAACTGAGACATGACTGTTGTTAGAGCTATGCAGGAAGACAAAAAGTAGTGCATGGATACAACGTTTGCTGCACTGCAGTTATTCAAACAATTGAAGAGCCAGGTAAAGGCACTTAATGAATGTAAGCCTGATGACCTAAGATTGTTGTTGTTGTTTCTCTCTCTCTCTCTCTCTCTCTAGCCCTAACTCACTCTGTAGACCAGGCTGGCCTTGTCTATATACCAGAAATCCTCCAGCCTCTACCTTCTTAGTGTTGAGATTACTGCCTGGTTTGATGGTCTGGATTTCATTTTTAGGATATAGATATCCTTGTTCACATCTGGTAGTTTGGTAAACCCAAACAGGTTTAGAATCTTCTGAAAAAAGTCATGTGAAATCTTTCTTAGTACCGTTCTTAGAAATAAATCTTACACTGAAGTCAAATTTCCAAGATTTAAAATTGGAGAGGGAGTTTGCTTAAGGTTCATTTAGTAATCCTTTACATTTGTATGTGTTTTATATACTTACTAAAGCAGTCTTAAGATTTGGTGGGGGGGCACAAGTAACTGCTAGTTAGAAATAATGTAAATCACCTTTAGAAACTAAACTAGGAAAATAGGCACAGAGAAGTGAAACAATTTACCTAAATTCTACAGTACTACTTGATGAAGTCTGAGCTTCAGTTGGGAGCTATCAATTCTCATAGCAGTGGGGGTTTCCCCATACAAGGAGCTGCTTTCATAATCACTATAACTTTACTTATGTATTTTATGTTTTAGGTTAGTTACTTCAATTGTAAAGGATTTTGACGTTCCTGGGAACTTCTCCTTTCACCTTTTCTCAGAAGGAATCTCTCAGAGTCTGTGGGTTAGCCCTGAAGAAGTGCTTTACGGGGCCACATATAGATGCTTTCATGAAGAGGGGTGAAAAACCAGAAGGGTACAGACAGATGAGGCCTAAGACCTTTCCTGCCAGCAACTACCCTGGCAGCAGCCGACAAATGCTGCAGGAGATCCGAGAATCGCTTAGGAATTTATCTAAACCATCTGATGCTGCAAAGGCCGAGCATAACCTGAGCAAGATGTCAATTGAAGATCCCAGGCAAGTGAGAAATCCACCCAAATTTGGCACACACCATAAAGCCTTGCAAGAAATTAGAAATTCTCTATTACCATTTGCAAATGAAACGAGTTCTTCCCGGAGCCCTTCAGAAGTCAATCCACAGATGTTTCAGGATTTGCAGGCTGCTGGCTTTGATGAGGTAAGAATGTTTAAAGACAAAAACAAACCAACCACATGATTCTTCTTATCCTGTAAGGCAAACTCCTTTCAGGAGAGCTGATCTAGAAGTCTTCCTTTGAGAGGACGAATGCAACTGTGCATGCAAATTTGTGTGTTCCGTTAACAAAGAATGCTATATTTACAATCTTACTGATTAGTATGACAAAATAATTATTTCTCTAGTTTCTTCTGTGCTAGTCCTAAATCCTGGAATTTCTGTAGGTGAGGTTATGACGCCAGAGTGGAGGTGCAGTTGAAGAAAGCCACAAGTGATAGGGGCAGGGGAGTAGTTTGAAATGCGAACACTGTGATCTCAGTTGTTGCTGGAAAAGTGATAGCTCCAAGGATATGAACTCTAGATTCATCATAGGGAGAGAGAACTACAGTAACTTACGTAGAATATTCATGTCACCCAGGCCTAAGTTTATATGTAAGTTAAGGCTAACAAAGCCAATCCTTTTGTTTGTTTTTTGGTTTGTTTTTTTGAGATAAGGTTTCTCTGTGTGTCCCTGGCAGTCCTGGAGCTCACTTTGTAGACTAGGCTGGCCTTGATTACAAAGATCCGTTGGCCTCTGCTTCCCAAGTGCTGGGATTAAAGGCATGCACCACCACCACCCAGCTACAAAGCCAAATCTTTACTATCTATTCCAGAGCTCCTGTGAGTCCTTTTCATAACATAATCATATTTTGTTTGATTATTAATAAAATTTGTTTCTCACAACAACATTCTTTGTGAGTGAATATTTTAGGTGGCAGAAATTTTAGATAAAAATCAGCTGTGTACAGCTGGAGACTTTGGCTCCCAGGTTAAAAGCTCTAGCGGCACTACCAAAGGACCCAAGTTTGATTCCTAGCACTCACATGGAGGTTCTCAACCATCTTTAAACTCCAGTTTAGGGGGAATCTATACCCTCTTCTGGCCTCCTCAAGCACATGATGCCTATACATACACAGAGCCAGAAATCATACACATAAAATAAATAAATATATTTTTAAAACTCAGCTATGTAAAGTGTAATCAATGATGACTCATCAAGAATCATAGGCAGGCATGGTGGCTCACTATAGCACTAGGAACATAGGGTTAGGAGGGCTTTAAATTCTGGGATGACTGTGGGCTCTTGTAAAATAAAAGATAAATTACAAGCCAAGCACGCCTTTAATCCTAGCTCTCGGGAATCAGAACAGGCATGTCTCTGTTAGTTCGAAGTCAGCGTGGTCTACAAAATGAGTTCCACGACAGCCAGGGCTGTTACACAGAGAAACCCTGTCTTGATAAGCATAACAACAACAACAAAAATACATACTTTTTATTTAAAAAGGAAGATCCAGGACACAGTCAGATCAAAGGAAATCCAAAGTTTAGCCGTATTAAAAAAAAAATCAACGATTAATGTGTAGGATCCCAGACGGTCCTCTGGTCTCCTAGGGCCTTGTCATTGGCACTTCTCTGGCTCTGCCATCCACACACACTAGGTTCAGGCTGGCTCCGCTCCACAGCTGCTGCTGTCCTTGGCAGGCATCCCATTGTACTAGCATCTCCAAAATGTTTGGGTCTCCACTGCAGCTGGGCTGCGTCTTCTGGGCTCTCTTCAAGCACTCCGACCCTGCCACTTGTCATCAATCTCTAATTTCTCTCAATGACCTCTTCAAATCCTGGGACTTCTGCTTCAACTGAGGCTGCACATTCACCACTGGCCTTTCCTGGCCTCTCACAGTGCCAAGCCTCAGCTGATCTTCATCACTCCTTCATGCTCCAAAACTAATACTACCTGGAAACTTACACACTTCCCAGGTTTGACTGCTCGCACTAAGGTAAAGCCTTGGCTCACTCGGAACCACAGCTTCTGTGTACTAACTCTGAGGAAACACTGCCCAGAATAGTTTACCTCAGTGGTGTTGGTCTCTTTTTAGCCCCAGCATTATCTTCTAGATTCCCACAGCAGTTCATAAACTCTGAACACTTGATGGCTTTTCTCACCCAGAATTACAGTCTTCCCCAAAACATGGTCAGGTCTTGTCACAGAACTGTTCCATGAATCTGGTACCATTTTGTTTGTTTGTTTTAGTTAGGGTTTCTTTTGCTGTAATAAAACATGACTAAAAGTAACTTGATTAGAAAAGAATTTATTTCACCTTACAATTTATAAGTCCATCACTGAGAAAGCCAAGGCAGGAACTCAGGGCAGGAACCTGGAGACAGGAACTGGAACAAGCTGTGGAGGAGTGCTGTTTACTTACTTGCTCCTCTTAGCTTTCTGAGAACACCCAGGACCACCTGTCCAAGGGTGCCACCACCTGCAATGAGCTAGGCCCTCTCACATCAATCAAGAAAATGCCTCATAGGCCAGGTGGTGGCTACAGTGCATGCCTGTAATCCCAGCACTTGGGAGGCAGAGGTAGGCAGGTCTTAGTGAGTTAGTTTGAGCCCAACCTGAACTACAAAGCAAGTTCCAGGATAGCCAGGACGGTTACACAGAGAAACCCTGTCTCAACCCCCCCCTTCCCCCTGCAAAAAAATAATGCCCCATACATAGGTTTGCCAACAAGCAATCTGGTGGAGATATTTTTTCGATTAAGATTTCCCCCTCTTCATAAATGATTTTAGCTTGTGTCAAGTTGACATAAAACTAACCAGCACAGTTTACTTGCCCTTTTGTCGGGGTGGGGGGGTCTGTTTGTTTTGTGTTAAGCCGGTGTCTTGTATAGCTCAGGTTAGTGTGGAACCCTGTTTAGTCCAGCCTCACTTCACGCTTTTCAGTCTCTTTCCTCAATCTTCCAAGTGATGTGATCACAGGTGTGCAGCATTATGCCCAGTCTCCATCCATCCATCCATCCATCTATCTATCTTTCTGTCTCTCTCTCTCTTACTTTCTTTCTTCATTTTTTTCTTTCTCTCTATTTTCTGAGAATGTTTCTGGTAACTACTGAATTAAAAGTTCAAATATTTCAAGATTAATTCCTTGATAGGCATAAATGTTAAATAGTATTGATGCTTTTTTGGAGGATATAAATACATAATCACTACAGATATTTCTTTTCTACAAACATGACTATGGAGGC